GCCAGTTAATACATACTTTCCTTGGAGAAACACTAATTTGCCCAGTAATTAATACGGTAGCATTTTCTTCTTCATGGTAATATTTTCAAGCAGATATGTTGGTGCCTGTCAAACAGACATCAACTTTCTGTAAAGTAACAAAAATCCATCTGCAAAAGAGGCCTAAGGCCTATACAAGCAGCAAGTATGGATTTATGCTCCTTTGTCTGTGTCTGTGTATTGATGGGTAGATATGTTTCAGTAGCTCTAGCAACTATTTAATGTGCACATTAAAGAATAGCTCAAATCTTTTTGTTTGTTCCTCTGAATTCAGAGAGGTTCTTAGGACTAAGCCTAAAACAGTTGGAAATAAGGTTTGAATTAGCCTTGATACTTTGGCAAATTAAATCATTGATTTAAATTGCCTTATTTTAAAATTGATCCATTTTGGCTCAGGCCAAGTGTTTGTGCCTGCACACTAAATAACGATTCATTCTTTAAATGCAGCTTTGTATGCTAGGAAGTTTACTGTTTTTTTTTCTTCCTTTTTTTCAGAAACCAGTCAGGAACTCTTCTTTTAAGAAGTGAGCAGAAAAGATTCCTAAATAACAGAAAACTGCTTTCTAAGTCACCGTTAAGTTTAAGTAAAGCTTGAGAGAGTTCCTAAAACAGGATAGGCAGGAAGTGATTTGAAACAGTTGGAGTGTCATCTATACAATTTATTGTAGATCAAGAAGGATTTATAGTTCCCTACTTTCTGGATGAAAGCTGGGTTACAGTAGGCTAAAGTGTGGATGGTAAATTCGTGGCTTTGTGAATATTCACACAACACAACCCATAATGAACCTTGTTATTTGCATAGCACACAGACCCATAAATGAACTGACTTTAGGTTAGCAAACGTGAATTCAGACATTTCAGTAAACTATAGTTAAGTTAGCCATATTGTGTAAACACAAACAGTGTTAAAGTGCTTTTCCCTTCTGTTGCTTTGGTTGATGAAAACCATGATGGCCTTTTCCTGCAAAATGATAGTCTAGACAAATTAATGGTCTAAGTACTCAGATGGCCCAGCATTTTAATTTTTATTGTATGCTCATCTGCCAGATGCTTCATACTTGACTCTTAGTGGGGGATTTATAGTCTTTGGTAAATACTAGAATGGTTTGACCATGCACTGCTTCCTTAACAAATAAACTTCCCATTAAAATTTAGAATATTAGGAAACCACTAAATTGTTTAATAGAGTAGGTATAAGTAATTAAAAATAAAGATGTAACTAATTGTTTTGATAAGCAAAGTGGAAATCTGTAGCAAAATCCCCCCCCAATTCCTAAGGTTCATAGGCTTATCCCACAGTGTATCGTTTTCCAGTCCAGTGTCCTCCAGATGTGTTGGCATACACTTTCATAGTATCCACTATGTGCTTACACAATGTTTTTCATCCTTGGCAATTTTAAAATCTGTGGACTTCAACTCTCATAGTTCCCCAGCTAGCATGACAAACACCTCACTAGCCAAATTGCCTGTTGATGGACAAATCACTCCGTTTTCTGAACAAAATCCTTTCAGCCAGTTGGTTTTTTTTATTTGTTTGTTTGTTTGTTTAAATAGATCAGCTTTCTTTCCCAGCCTTTCCAAAGAATGGGAAAGCTCTCAGGATTTTATGCTACAGCCCATACTGGCTGATGATGAATCCTGGGAGCTGAAGTCTTAAAGTGGCTATGACGTTAACCTGAATTTGTAAACTAACTCAGAGGAATTGACCTGACTTCCTAGTGAACCTTTAACAGCAGTAATGTGTAAAAATTGGCAAGTAAAGCTGGGAGAAAAGAGAGATCAACACTTGCTAATGACAGCAAATGAAGCTGCTCTTAATGGTCTGGAACAACTATTGGGGAGATAAAAGGGGGGGGGGAATGAAAGCTTAGCTCTGTTCCTTCAGTGGCAGATTTCATGGTCCACTCTCCACCCCAGCTTCCTGTAATTAGCAGGATTTTCATGCTGCCTCTCAGCAGAGAGAGGAAGAAGAGGGATTTGCAGAGCAAGAGCGCCCAGCCTGGTTGAAACCGTAGCTGGAAGATTCTTCTTTTGCAAAGACCAATTTTAGAGGTATAAATACACACACACACACCCCATTGAGTGGGAATCTGGCTGTTTGGAAGTGGCAGCTCTCTAGCCGGGCTCACAGGACACGCCGAGCTAAAGCCAGGCTTCATTCTTTGTGTTTTAGTGCGTTGGGTGAACCAGGAAATGTGGTTTGCAAAACAGGTTTATACTTTAGAACAAAGGTGGGCAGCCTTTTTGTGGCTGGGACTGTAATGGGTGAGGTGAGAAGCACAGTAGTTGGAATCGGGATTGCATTATACCTTTTTAGTCTCTGTGTGTATTATTTACTTCCCACCTCAGAATGGGAGAGAGCTGTGATGTGTATTTCTGGCAACTGCAGTCAGTTGTGACTAATGGGGCTACTAACGAGGGTTGTGGGGGTCTGTGTAAGCCTTGGGATCTCAAGGTTACCCATTCCTGATTTAATGTGTTAGCTGCAGACATGTGTAGGGAGATAAAGAAATTGGAGGGGGGGAAGCTTTCCTGCTTTATATTTTTGTTTTCTTTCCTAATGGATTATGAAATGTTGTGTGATAGTTTTTAAAAGAAATGTTCCTATGTTACCTCCTAATGTTTACCCCCAAATGATTTATGAAAACTATATAGTAAAACTTTATGTAAGACTAATTACATTATCACATAGTACAATTATACTAGAGAGTATAACTCTAAAATACCAAATGTTAGAGGCATTGACATTTATTTTTACAGGAGAAGGAAGGGCTCAGCCTATCTTTGATAATGGGCTTCCTTCCTCTTATTGATGTAGAGATTGCTGGATTGTGGCCTGTCCTTCACTAGTCCTCAAAACCCTGGGAATGGGGTAAACATTGGCAGTAGCATCCATTTATCTATACTTGTAAAGGGTGCTAAACATAAGCATTTCATATGTTCAAATTCCCTTTTACTGACCTCCCAAAAAATGGAAAAGCTTCTGAATTGTTTTCTAGGAGTTTTATTTTTCAACATTTGTGGAAAGTTTATATCCTTGGTTGGCTAAATGTGCATAATAGTAACTGATTTAGTAAACCAGGGTTAAGCAAGCCTTTATGTATAATGTGTGAATATATCTTGTGCTTGCTTTATTGTACATTCTTTCTCTTAACTCTGTAATTTGCTCTGAATAGATATGAGTGAAGACAAAACTGCATTCGAAATGCAGCTCGGCCTTTGATTATCAGAGGTTGGGATCACTGGACTAAAATGTGGCTTGACATTTTGGCTTAAAATGTATGAGCCTAGTCGCTGTGCTTTATTTATGGATCACTATATTGCTCAAACTAAGTTTGGTTGATTAGAAAATCATGGCTTCGCCAGATCGTCCCTTGATCACCCAAGGCTTTGTACTACTCTCAGATTTGTACATTAAGACACTGTTTAGCACTAATTTGTTGAATAAACAACAATAGGCTGGGTTCTCACCACATACTAAGCTATCTAGACCGAACTATATTTTGGTCTAGCACAGGGGTAGGCAACCTTGGCTCTTTTATGACTCGTGGACTTCAACTCCCAGAATTCCTGAGCCAGCATGGCTCAGCTTGGAAACCTCTCCCTTTCCCCTCAGCATGGCTGGCTCAGGAATTCTGGGAGTTGAAGTTCACGAGTCATAAAAGAGCCAAGATTGCCTACCCCTGGACTAGCATGTTGTCTACAAACTCATGTTCATGAAGGAAGAATTATCTGCATGGGATGGAGACAGAGATGGGAGAGCTGTTTTGGACTCAAAATTCCCTTGACAAGTTTGGGATGGAATTCAGTTATTAGCAGAAAAGGAAGGTTCTTGAAAGATCAATTTCAAGAAATTTATGCCAAGCCAAGTAGAGAATTTGGGGAAATAAATGGACTCTAGCAGTCCCGATCCGATCTAGAATAAAATGATAGGATGGGCTGGTAATGGTATCTTCTGCTTATGCCTAAATCCACCAGGTTTGAAAACTAGCAAGGAGCACACTGGGTTAATCTTTTTATATACCACCTTTTAAGTTTAGGGACTTTAAAAAAAATGTACGGGGATCCACCTGATATAATATTTCTCCAAGTATAAACTTGTCCAGTTTATCACTTCAGGATGTTATTGCATTTATGCAATAGGCTTTAGAGCAAAATTCTGAGAGACTTTCTAAAAAGGGAAAACATCAACTTCATCCATGATATTTTGAGGGGGGGTGGGGAAAGCAAAACTTGTTCAGCCAGGGGAATTGGTCCCTAATATTCACCAGCCTTTCTCGCACAGGCACATCATGGTTTTTATTAGCACATCTTCAGTCAAGAAAAAGAGAGATGTCCCTTTGTGACCGCCTGCAGGCTTTTCTCTTATCACTGTCAAGAAAGCAAGCAGCTATTCACACTGGAGATTGGAAGGCTTGCCAGCCTGATTCTCTGCCTAGCAGGGAAAGTTTAACCTGCTTACTTCGGCATGGCCAGTGGTTTTTAAAAGCACTGAAAGCCTGCAGAGAGAAAGAAAAAAACTGCAGATGTGAGGGATGGTGACCTAGGCCTTATCTTGTGGGGGGAAACAAACTAATGTTTTTGTGGTGCTCTGTTCTTTACCCAATTCTGTAATAACTGGATTGGTGCAGAACACTGGGCTATAACACGGGTAATTCAGAGTTGAGTCTGTTAAGTAATCCTAGTAAAAATTGGGTTAAGTCCATGAACCATGGCTCAGTTAACGATGGATAAACATGTCTCAGAAATATATACTGCAAATCTCTCAATCTCCCCTCTGCCCCAATTGGCTGAGTTTGCAAAGAGCATTCAACATATAGCAGCCAGTTAGCATAGCCTGTTGAGTAAGCCAACCCACCATCGGGATCTGTGTAGACTTTATCTCAAGCTTCCTTGGTAGGGAAGAAGGTGAGGTTGGTCCCTCCTGCTAGCCATATATTTTCTCACCTTTATAGGAACCTGGCTGGAGAGTAGGTCAACAGCAAGTGCCCAGGGGCCTCTAGGTAAGTGCAAGATTGATCTGCTCTCTTCAGAAGGCCCCAGGGCCTCCCAGCTAAAGCTGCTCTGTCGAATAACTTAGACTAGAAATAACAGCGGCTTGTTGATCCTTAAGATGTCCTTCGTGCTCCAGTTGTAAATGTACTCAAGGTATGGCTTTCAGTTAAGATTCCTTTCATTTTCATCCTGAGTTTGGTTTGGTTTGTTTTGTTTTTTCTGACTGAGAAAACAAGACGTTTGAGCCGTGCAACCAGCTATGCAATTTGGCCTTTTGAGAGGCCTTTTCTGAAGCACTAGTGAGATTTAATGGGCAATGAAGCCTGGAAGACATTAGAGAGGCCAATGGCAGAGTCTCTTTTCCACTCAGGGTCTGTTTGGACCCAATAGATTAAAGAAGCATGAGCAGGGGTCTTCGAACCTGGCCCTTTTATGACTTGTGGACTTCAACTCCCAGAATTCCTCAGCCAGGCATGCCTGGCTGAGGAATTCTGGGAGTTGAAGTCCACAAGTCATAAAAGGGCCAAGTTCGAAGACCCTGGGCATGAGAAAGGAAAGGCACAGTCTCTCTTTAAAGTTCAAAATTGGCTTCTGTGAGTGAAAGGCGGAGGGGGGGGGCTGTTTTCTTCCTCGTATTTTTGCTCCTGAAAACGCACCTTCTCCCACTCCAAAAACCTCAGCCTGGGTGATGAGGTGAGATCAGACCCAGAAGCAGAATGTAATAGTTCTAGAACAGGGGTATCCAACTTTGGCAACTTTAAAAACTGGTGGACTTCCAACTCGCAGAATTCCCCAACCATCATGGCTGGCTAGGGAATTCTGGGAATTGAAGTCCGCAGGTCTTAAAGTTGCCAAGGTTGGACACTGCCATTGTAGAACAAACCCGGTTGGACAAAAGATGAAAATGGGAATGCTATTGAAAGCCGCCCCAAATCTCTCCCACACGGGAGAAAAGAAATGCCTTCAACCTCTCTGAGATACCCTCCCTGTTTTTTCTTTCTTTCTACCCTCTCTCCCTTTCTTTGTGGACACCGGAGGAGGAGAGCCTATAAATGTCAGGAGGAGTCTGGTAGCACCTTTTCTGACTGAACACATTTCATTAAATGGCATAAGCTTTGTGAGTCGTAGTTCATGCTTTTTAATCACATTCATTATTCAGAAAAGATGCTACCAAGCTCTTCCTGATTCCCCCCCCCTTTCTTTGCAAACCTGTCTATTTTTCAGGTAGATTTTATGGATTTTGGTTTACTGTATTTTATTTTATTTTTATAGAAGTTCTATATCTTTAATTGACAAAACCCCATGGAGAAAAGTTTTCTGGACATAGACTGGAAAAGTACAGGTGGTCCTCGACTTACAACCACAACTGAGCCCAAAATTTACGTTGCTAAGTGAGACCATTTGTTAAGTGAGTTTTCCCCCATTTTACAACTTTTCTGGCCACCGTTGTTAAGTTAGTAATCTGGCTTCCTCATTGACTTTGCTTGTCAGAAGGTCACAAAAGGTGACCACATGACCCCTGGACACTGCAACCGTCATAAATATGAGTCAGTTGCCAAGCATCTGAATTTTGATCATGTCACCATGGGGATGCTGCAACGGTTATAAATGTGAAAATGGTCGGTTTTTTTCAGTGTCATTGTAACTTTGAACGGTCACTAAATGAACTGTTGAGGACTACCTATACCTCATCCCTGATTTTCTACTTTATGCTGCTGTTTCAGAGTAGATTAGATGGGGGGGAGGATAGTGGGAAGGTGGCCTTAGGGCACCTGCTTTTTTTTCTTTGCCTTATTTCTTGTAATTTTTTTTTTCTGCTTGTTCTCCTTAAAAGTGTCAACGCTCTATAAAGTATGAAGAGAGCCCCCCTATAGTGAAGGAAACATGGCAGATAAGAGGAAGCTACAAGGTAAGCTCCATGGCTGGGCCAGGCGCCTGGTTCTCTTTAACAGAAGAGCAGAGGGTCTGTTCACCTAGGCTTGGCACAGAAGAAAGAGGAGGACATAAAATTGACTAAAGGGCAAACAGGATTCTTACTTTTGTAGCTTTGAATACCTGGCACAGGATGCTGCAGTTTCCAAACGAGTATGGAATTGGATTAGGGAAGGGTGAAAAGAGTGAGGTTTTTGGTTGGTTTAGGAAGCCAATAAAATGGGGGCAAAGATGTTGGTATTTGGGAAGAAGGAGAAACAGGCAGCGTTTCAAAACTCCGATTGTCTTTCTTCCCATTTTAGGTTCCAGGGAAGGTATGAATCTTTTAGTTTCTGTGATTGCTTTCAACTAATTTATCTTTTGCCCCCCCATTCTTGCAGGTGAGATCGATCGGTGTCTCAAAAAGGTATCGGAAGGTGTGGAGCAGTTTGAAGATATCTGGCAGAAGGTGAGGGCTGCTGTCATCTCTCTGCCCGGGTTCTGTCCAAACTCCTTGATTATCACCCCATGTAGTTTCTTATCCTAAATTTAATTTTGGGGAAGGAAGGGTCAGGGAGAGGAGGGGAGAAGTCCACTTGGCTCCTGCTTTTCCTTTATCCAGTTTGATTTTGCCCTCCTCCTCTTCCATCACATCTTGGGGGGTTTTTTTCCTCTCTCTTTCTCTGCTACAGCTCCATAATGCAGCGAATGCCAATCAGAAGGAGAAATATGAAGCTGATCTGAAAAAGGAGATTAAGAAGCTCCAGGTAAGAATGAGCCAGCTTCAGTATTCTTTGACACCCAGTCTCAGAAGATTAGTTATGGAAACTAGCCTGAAATCCAGGAAAGGCAGATGGGAAGTGTAGATAAAAGGAAGGGCTGGGGAGTTGTCAAGTTGCAATGCAGTATTTCCCTTCCTCTCCAGAGACTGAATCAGTCTCAGTTTGTCAAAGAGTCTTATTGTCAAGCGCCCGGGAAATCAGGGGATCCAGGCAATTCAAATGGGTATAAAAATTTATTCCAAGCTTAAGCTCTCTACAAGAATCTGAACCATGGTAGTTCACAGGAATTCAAGGTGAGCTTAGATCTCTTGTGGGCAGAAAGGGATTCATGACTGATGACATATTTGACCCCTCCTTGGAGCTCAGCCTGGTCCTCTCCTACAGGTCTAGAGGTTTCCAATTGTCAAATTGTTCTTTGACAATTCCCATCGTTCTCCACTATTATTACTTAACTCAGAAGGGCTAATAATAAAAATTCAGATAAATAATTGAAGTTCAGGGAAACATACGTTGAAATCATCACTCCCTACATTTTTCACGAAAAACAACTATGTTGGAAAAAGCAGAATCTTGAGCGAGGAGAGAAAAGAAAAGGTAGCAAGCTATGTTTTGAGCTGCTGATTGCTTGGCTTCTAAATAGACGACAGTGAAATCCATTAGTTTACAGGTAGTCCTTGACTTACAACCATTCATTTAGTGACTATTCGAAGTTACAGCAGCACTGAAAAAAAGGACTTATGACCAGTCCTTGCACTTATGACTGTTGTAGCATTCTCACGGGCGCATGATCATGAAAATGTGGACATTTGGCAATCGGCATGCATTTACGACGGTTGCCCTGTCCAGGGTCACATGATTGCTATTTGCGATCTTCCCAGCAAACTTCCAATAGGCCAAATCAGTGGGGGAAGCTGGATTCACTTAACAGCCCTGTGATTCAGTGAACTGCACTGATTTGCTTAACAACCGTGGCAGAAAAGATCGTAAAAGTGAGCATTATTCATTTAATAACTGCCTCACTTAGTTGTTGGTTAGAAATTCTGTCCCAATTGTGGTCATAGGTCAACTACAGGTGGTCCTCGACTTATAACAGTTCATTTAGTGACTGTTGGAAGTTACAGTGGCACTGAAAAAAGTGATTTATGACCGTTGCAGCATCCCCATGGTGACATGATCAAAATTCAGACGCTTGGCAACTGGCTCGTATTTAGGACGGTCGCAGTGTCCCAGTATCATGCGATCCCCCTTTTGCGTCCTTCTGACAAGCAAAATCAGTGGGGAAGCCAGGTTCACTTCACAACTGTGCTACTAACTTAACAACTGCAGTAATTCACTTAATGACTGCAGCAAGAAAGGTCGTAAAATGGGGCAAAATTCACTTAACAAATGCCTCACTTAGCAACATAAAGTTTGGGCTCAATTGTGGTCGTATGTCGGGAATTATCTGTACCTGTATAGCATAGGGGTATAGAAATGAGTCCATACTCTTTCTTTATGTTTGACCATTGCTGTAATCACAAGCTTTTCCTAACCTGGTGACACCCAGAAGTGTTGAATTTTGTATAATTACTAAACACCATGAAGGTTGGCTGGCTGTGGATTATGGAATTCGAATTTGATATGTCTAGAAGGCATCAAGTTGGATAAAGGCTGTTCTAAAAAGTTTCACTATTATGAGTGTTACTCTAGGGCTAGTTTATGCTGAGAAGATCTACTAATAAAGGGAACTAATTTGATCATAGAACCATTTTTCTCTTTCTGCAGAGATTGAGGGACCAGATCAAGACATGGGTTGCATCCAATGAGATTAAAGACAAAAGGCAGCTAATAGACAACCGGAAACTCATTGAGACGGTAAAAATCAAACTGAGAGAAAAGAATCTATTAACCATTATGTGTCAATGCCAAGCAAAATTTCAGGTGAAATTGATGTTTTTCAAGGAAACTGTGTGATTTTGGAGAACTAAATGAACCAGGTTTAATTTTGCCCACTTTTAGGCAAGTTCTTACCAGCTCAGTCAGCTTTGGCACTTAAGACTTCTTGATATTTTTATGCTTAGCTCCTCCTCAACAGTGTTACCATTGGCTGCTAGCAGTGTGACCTCATAAAGGTGAGCCACCTGGCCATCTCACTTGTTACTTAAGCTGAGTAAGTGACAGAAAGGGGTTCTGTGGGGAGCCCAGGATCTTTTCTACACAACCTTCCTCAGAGTGACAACATGGGATAGACGGTAAGACCTTCTTAGTTTAAGGGTTTAACTGGTAGTGCTTATGGAAGGTCTTCTAAACTTTGAAATCGGAGGCTTAGAAATAAGGGACTTTGCAAGGATCAAGCTGTATCTTGTATTTCCTAGGCAACCTGAATCAGTAGACATTTTATACATTTTCTTTTTGGAGGGGGGAAGGCACTCTTACAAACCTTCCTGTTGTATTTTTCTAGCGTCAAATCCAAGCACTGTGATTAAAAAGCACTTGTGGTTGGTGATCATTAGTATCTATGGGGACAAAAATGCATATTTGCTGCATCGTTCATGATTGGGGGTTCTCTGTGTTACATGGTTCATTATTCAGTTTGTGATTGAAAATGCCTGTGTGCCTCACTTGTGTATATATGTCACCAGTGTCAGTATTCTATAGAATCAATTAAATATAAAATATTAATTTTAAAAAAGCGTTTGAATTAGACAATCCATGCCCTGTTGGGGAATTGTTTCTGATATATTTCCTTTCCTAAACGGAGAAGCAGAAAGACTATGAGCAGACAAAAAGGCTATGGGAGCAGGAGCAACTTCTGACTTCTTGCTCACTTTCCCATTGAGTTTGTGGGAATTTGGCAGGGAGCATCAGAAATCTTCCTTTCTTCTCTCCCTTCTCTGCTGCTCCTGGGTGGGAGAAGGAGCAAGGGATTGCGAGACTGGCTGGGAAACTGTCATGAAACGTGAAAAATATTGATCATTTGAGTGCAGCAGCAGCCACAGTTTTCCCAAATTTCATTCCCTCAGGAGTCATGGGTCCCAGATTTTGGATACATTCTGTAAATTAGCCCATTTGAGGTACTTTGGTTCAAAAATTGTTGCAATATGATGCATCATTTTGACTAATTAAAAGACATGACAGTAAGAGTATTAGTAGCATCTAGGTGGCCCTAGCAAAACCATTTTTTTGATACTTTGAATTAGGAAAAAAAATTAGTCCCGCTGTAATAGCAGCATGTTAATGAGATTCACTATAGTTTGGGTTGGCCTGTTTATTTGAATAACTCAGCATTGTAGACAAAACAGGCTTATGAATTTTGTTAAGGAAGTTACCACAACAGTTCTGGAGCCAGGATTTCTGGATAGGAAGAAACAGAGTGACTCCCTATGATTAGAAGACTAAGATACTGAATTCAAGGATAGGCAGTAGAATTTATCTCTGGATAAAATTCCTCAGCAGGATTCCCTTGTTTTTTTAGAGCCAACTTTCATCACCTCAAAGCAATGTCAGGTTAAGGATGGTTTTGAAACCTAGTCTATGAGTGGCAATCAAATAGAATATTAGAATTGAAAGCGAAATTATCTTCCAAGATGCAGATAAGGAAAAGCTATTTTACATAGTCTGAGATCTCCCACTTGTTTTAATCTGCTCTGCAAACATCCTAATTGCTGCTTCTCTTTTTGCAGCATTCAGCTTCTCCTCAGAGCTGGTCAGAAATCTCTCCAACTAATAGGAGACTGCAGAAATCCACATCCAGTTAATCCTTTGTCCCTCCCCACATCTTAACGTTTCTTCCCACCTGCCCAGTGATTTTCAACCAACCAGACTGGTCTCCATGGGGGGGAGGTATTCATTTGCAAAAGAGAAAATGAAAGGAGAGTTTAGTAGTACCTTGGTGGCTTAAACTTTTCTGAGGATGTAGAATTTATGGGAGATGCAGTGAGATGCAACCACCAGCTCAGACTCCAGAATGCATTCTGCAAATTCATTCATTCTGTCTTTGGTGGTGACCTTGCTTATCGTGAAGCAGAGCCAGAAGTTAATCGCAATAGAAGGAAATATCTGTAGGTCAGGGTTGAACTGTGGGGTCCTTGGTGCTCTCTGAGCTTGGTTGTTTGCTTGTTTACAGATGTTTCAGTACAACTTGGTAACAACAGTGTTGATGTTACCTAGATCGGCAATGAAATGTCTGCAGGCAAACAACCAAGCTCAGAGAGCACCAAGGAGTCCATATAAATTAATTGGTTCTGCTGCCCAGTACAAACAGTGGCGCTTTATATGTTTGCACAACTTCTGAAAGTTTGAAAGTGGCACAGATATCACACATGGGGGAGCCCTATGATTTGACCGTAAGCATTCTGGGTTTTCTCGCCCTACTTTCAGATCAAAAATTGTGGTTGAAGTTATGTTCATCAGAGCACTTAATTTTTCAGTTTATTGCAGAGTAGACGTGCATTTCAGTGGAAAATGCCTGCTAGGAGCTGGATTCTGAGCCCCCCTGGGAGCTGTTTCCTGCTTTGCATTAACTCACTGAGACTTGTAACCTCTTTTTCCAGCAAATGGAGCGGTTCAAGGTAGTGGAACGTGAGACCAAGACAAAAGCCTACTCCAAAGAGGGGCTGGGCCTCGCCCAGAAAGTGGACCCAGCCCAGAAGGAGAAAGAGGAAGTTGGGCAGTGGCTGACGGTGAGAACCTGGGGGAAGTTGGCTGGATTGGATGGCAAAGCAGCTTCTGGAGAAATTGGGGAGCAGAACTAATTTCCCCAACCTTAAATTCAAAATATAACGGGTCCCATATTAGAAATTACTCTTGTGATTTATCAGAAGTTACTAGGTAGGGCAAAGAGCATCCTGAAACTCTGTAATTGTGCTGTGGTTGATGGTCTTAAGGTCTAAAAGAGCCCTTTTCCTCATCCCCACCTCTAAGGTTAAAGAAAGAACCCGGAATTTTTGTCTCCCAAGAAGTAGACTCTTGTGGATATTTTGGTTGTTTGGTGGCAAAAAGTCTCATGACAACCTGAAAAGAAATTCTCTTGCCTGAATAAGGAAGAAGTTCTGGTGATGATGACCTTTGGCTAAACAGTTGCATAATGAGAAGAAGGCAGTCATAGCTTTGAACTCATTGAATGCAGAACAGAGGTTGAAGCTGGCCATAGAATCATAGTGCTGGAAAGGATCTTGGAGGTCCATCTGGATCTGTTTTCTCCTCTGAGCCCAGAAGCAGTTTCTTCAACTCAGTTCATATCAGTTGTCAGTGACCAAAGACATGTAATTTGGGGAATAGGTTTGGGATTCCATGCTGTTGAAAAATGGCAGTTTGTTAACAGAAGTTGGGCACCTCCATCTCCTGGCCCACTGATCCTTTTATAAAAGAAAAGAAAAGAAATTGCATCGATTAGGAAAAGTAATAATTTGAATTACAATCTGGCCTGGTTTTCCCAACAGCTAAGAAGCAATTTACAAGAGCTGGTTTCTGTTCAGGCTTGGAAATTGGAAAAATGGAAATGTTTGACCGTGAAGGTGGTGACTAACAGGATTTACCTTTGTGTTAGGCGTTTGAGTGTGCTCCAGACAAACGATAGTGCCAGTTAAGCACAAGTTTGTGTAAATCCTTCCCCAAATGCAGGAAAAACAAGCTCAAGTGGCACTTGGGTGCAACCTTTGTGGACACATGTGCACAGTTACTCATTTATTTCTATATTGCACAACGCAATCATGACCCTAACGGTTTACCAAACTTAACGGAGCAGAGGAAATAAAAATAGTGTCAGAAGGAATGAATATGTGACAAGGACTGATATTGATAAGACCAGCATCTCCAGTTAGTGTTAATATTGGACCCTTCTGGCTATAGACAGTAAAAAGACACCGGTTAGGAAGAGCTATAAGATCCATTGGCCAAATGGTAATTTATAGCTCTGAGATCCTGGCATTGGCAAGCTAATTAATGCACATGGTTTTTTTTAAGAATACCATCACAAACAACTGTTTAGGGAGCTGGCTGCTTTTAGTAATACCTAATTGTCACCATCTGTGCTTCCTTTATTATATAGTTAAAGGAGAAAGAGAAACACTGAGATCAGAAGGAAATTAAATGAAGAAAACACAAAGCACCTCCCACATACACACACACACACACCTACACCTACATACATACAAGTAGAAATGGTAGAATACAAAAGACCAAAAATAAAAAATCTGTCACTGTATTCAAAACAGCCCAGTGCCCTGCAGAAGCCTCATCAGGAAACAGCCTCTGCCATTCAAGATAGCATTTCATCAGATCTGTTGGCCCAAGAAATGTTATTCTTAAAATAAATTGGATGGTCTTTTTAAGGAGCCACCAGAGACTTTCTATTATACAAATGTGTGCTGTATGCTATTATTGTGTATTAGATTACCCAGCAAATGATATTGATAAAACATCATTTAGAAAATAGATCATAGGCAGGAAGTTAGTACAATTGCAGTTCTGAAGAAAGTGAAACTTCCTGCTGGCACACAGGGTATTTCACTTATGCTCTCAATCTTTCAGAGATCTCCCAGAATTTCTGGGACTTTCTGTTGGAAATCCCAGGCTGTAGATTATTTTTTTCCCATTGGGTGGTTGGCAGTGATCTGCTTCATTAACTTGTATGTTCTCCTTAGTTCTTATTACTACCCTAGTTTACTCCTTTTTCCTGCATAGCTAAATAGCCTTGTAAGTATGTTTGCCTATGTCACTGTCTGACTGGATAATGATCTGTCTGCTACCTCTCTCCACCCTCCCTTCCTCCCAGAATACAATAGACACCTTGAACATGCAGGTGGATCAGTTTGAGAGCGAAGTGGAGTCGCTCTCGGTCCAGACGCGCAAGAAGAAGGGAGACAAGGATGTGAGTTGATAAATGTCTCTTTATGATGCATTGGGGATTAACGAATGGAGTAGTCCTATGGCTTCATATATTAAGAGGTTCTGGTGTTGAAAATCCAGGCGTTTGAGGGTTTGTCAAATCCTTCATTGATTAGCTCCAATCCTTCCTTTTATTCAGGAGCTCAAGGCAGCGTACTGGGTACTTCTATTTTTTGTCCCCACAGCATCAGCCCTATGAGGTGAGCTGGGCTGAAGAGAGAGAGTAACTGGCCCAGGATACTCGAAGGAACTTCCATGGCTGAGGATGGATTAGAAACTGGGTCTCCTTGGAATCAGTCCAATGTGGGAGACAGGTTAACTCAATGATGATTTGGCAGTCACTTGCATTGCAAGAGGGTAGCCTAAGTTTCATGTCAGAGCTAGACTTAGCATTTCAGAACAGGATCCAAAATTGGCAATTATTTCAGAGGCATGTTTTACCTGTCTTTTTTTTTTTTTCAAAAAAGCTTGAGCAGTCGATAACATTTGTACAGCCTTTTCCAGTGTTGTACTCTCCAAAGATTGGAGAGATAGGATTCCCCTTCCAGGAGTTTTGCAGCACCAATGCATTTGGAGGGCCCAAGGCTGGGAAATGGTGCATTATAAAAATGTGCACATACACATATCCCAACCCAAAGACGAGGAATTCACTGTCAGAACTCAACAAGCCACATTCTGACTCAGCCCAGCATTTCTCATCCTTGGCAACTTTTAAGACGCATGGACTTCAACTCCCAGAATTCCCAGCCAGCATTTTAAAGTTGCCAAGGTTGAAAAACGCTGGCTTAGTGTGTGCTGTCTGTTCTTCCCACGGAAACAGAAGCAAGACCGGATCGAGGGCCTGAAGCGGCATATTGAGAAGCATCGGTACCACATCCGGATGCTGGAGACAATCCTGCGCATGCTGGACAACGACTCTATCAACGTGGACTCTATCCGCAAAATCAAGGACGATGTGGAGTATTACGTTGATTCTTCGCAGGACCCCGATTTTGAGGAGAATGAGTTTCTCTACGATGACCTCGACTTAGAAGACATTCGTAAGTGTTACCTCTGGGTGGACAGTTGTGCGGGAGATTAGAGTTGAAGTGGTTGCCATAAAATCAACATCATTTCCCTCCCCTTAAAACTCGGGACCTTGTCAAAGTAAAGGCAGCATCTGCCTTCAGAGCTCCCTGTATTTCTCTCAATGTTCCTGGCAGATTCTCTTTGAATTCTTGAACGGCAGTCATGACTATACATTCACATTCCATTCCAGCGGCTGTTAAGCAAAACGGTCACTAAGGGAATGCTTAGATGCTGCAAATATCACTGTTTGCTGTCATCTCTTTCAGATAAAATTCTCTGAACAGTGTCGTGTGTCTGATCCATTTTCCCCCGTTTTTTGCCTCCTCACAGAACGGAGAGAGCTGAAACAAGTGATTTCTTGTCCCCAGCCCAGTGTTTCCCTGAAACAGGGGTCTTCAAACTTGGCCCTTTTATGACTTGTGGACTTCAACTCCCAGAATTCCTCAGCCAGGCACGGTGTCTGAGGAATTCTGGGAGTTGAAGTTCACAAGTCGTAAAAGGGCCGAGTCTGAAGACCCCTGCCCTAAAACATGGTAACTGCAACACTAACCAGCTCAGTTCTGTGATCTTAATTGGCTGATTAGAACCTAAAATTTACCAAGTCTTAATCAGTTTCACATTGACGGCTTCTGTTGTTAGGCACACCAGTGGGAAAGTGTATTTTTAATACTGTTTATTACTATTGTATTTGCAAATCGTCACCAACTAGGGCAGTTGCCAAATAAGGAGTAGCTGTGATTTTTACTTATTTGTCAGAATTCATTCGTTTTTCCTTCAAGAAATAAGGGTGGGGTTTTTCTTTAAAATAACCGAGCTTTCTGGTATTAGCTCTCCTTTTATTTTTATGTGCAGGTGATCCTTGACCACAATTGAGCCAAAAATTTCTGTTGTTAAGTGAGTCTTTCCTCATTTTACAACCATTCTCGCCACAGTTGTTAAGTGTAAGCACATGACTTCCTGGACACCGCGACTGTCATAAATAGGGACCGGTTGACAAGCATCCTAGTTTTGACCATATGACCACGGTGGAGACTGCAGTAGTTGCAAGTGTGAAAAACGGTCGTGCGTTACTTTTTGGGGTGCTGTTGTAATTTTGAACGGTCGCTAAACAAATGGTTGTAAATTGAGGATTACCTGTTACATTAAGTGTGATCCGTGAAAGTAAGACATTGGTTAGTCTTTAAAGTGCAAAAGACCTTGAGGACATAAACCAGAAGTAGGCAACCTTGGCTCTTTTTATGACTTGTGGACTTCAATTCTGGGTGAAGCCCACGAGTCATAAAAGAGCCAAGGTTGCCTACTCCTGACATAGACAAACCTCCAAGTGGCCTCAACGTCTTCAAAGAAAAACAAAGTCCAGTTGCCTCCTGAAAAAAGCACCTTTGGAACAACCCTGACCTGGATGACTGAGAATCTCCGTAGGCAGCTGGCCATCATGTTTCTGCCTGATTGCAGAAATGTCTCTCTTCATTTGCTCTTCCTGTTGGTCCTCCAGCACAGGCACTGGTAGCCACTTCCCCACCCAGCCATAGCCACATGGAAGATGAGATGTTCAACCAATCCAGCAGCACCCCCACATCGACCACATCCAGCTCCCCAATCCCACCCAGCCCTGCAAACTGCACAACGGTAAGGAGGGTCCTTTGTGAGGATGGTGAAGGAACATCCATGGGTTCGTGGGAACGAAGCATACACGCATGAACTGACGAGGGCTTCGTGAGGTCAGCTTGCCACGTTTATTCACAGGGGAGCATCTTTTCCTGTGATGATGCTTAAAGATGCCTTTGAGTTGCCCTCGGGGCCCGCTAGCTGTATCCACCCAGTTCACACAGCAAGGTTACAAATATGCTTTGCCATTGCCACCTTCTGGGAGATGCTGGTCTGATTAACCAGTCTATCCAGTTCCCTCAAATACCCAGACAGTCTCCCTCCAAATAAGAACCAGGTCTGAACTGGCTTCCCATCTCAGACAGTTGGTTAAGATGCTGCTTTGTGCTGAGATACTCAACCTTTTTTTCCTTTTTTAGGAGAATTCTGAAGATGATAAGAAACGAGGACGGTCAACAGACAGTGAAGTCAGCCAAGTGAGTTTGAAACCCTGGGTTCTTCACGATGGAAGAGGCTGGAAACCGTCTGTTTTGATTAAGGGGAAAGATGTTAGGACTCTTAAGGGCTCTTTTGTGGAGGAAGAAGTGCTGGAACTGGTTAGTTAGGGCTAACTACGGTGGATTGTTTCTGATACAGTACAGTGTAATTTTAACAACTGAACTACTTCTCGAATTAGCTCAGAGAAATTGCTTGGAGAACTACATCCATATGAGATCTCTCTGCATGCAGAAATATTCATTTGAGGCACTGTTTCTCTCTTGGGCCTATTTGGATCTGCTTCTAAAAACCAGGCAATATTAATGTGGGAATGCATTTCACTTGACCAATTCCATGTATGAATTTCAAAGTTAGGTAGCTCTGTAAGAAAGCTTCATTTGGCTATTTATGAGAAAGGACAAGGGAGTCAGAATTTGGAAACAATAGATCAGGGGTCTTCAAACTTGGGCCTTTTACGACTTGTGGACTTCAACTCCCAGAATTCCTCAGCCAGGCATGCTGTCTGAGGAATTCTGGGAGTTGAAGTCCACAAGTCATAAAAGGGCCAAGTTTGAAGACCCCTGTCTTAGAATTTTATCTTTGTAATGGAAAAAAAAATATTTGCAGTCCTATTTGTCTTTTACTGGTAATCCTCACAACCTCAGCTGAGATGGGCAATTCCCTCATAAGTGTTGTGGTTGTAAAGTGACACTTCACATAACTCCGTCCAATCCAAGATGGCAGTTCTGACTCTGGTAGTTAAGTGAACCCCCATGATCATTAAGCATAATATGTAACTGTGACTTGCAACTTCCTGCCGTCTTTCCCATTGGCTCGTCAGAAGCCCACTGTGAAAATCGTAAAGGGTAATCGTGATCTTGGGACACTGTGACTTGTAAATGCATGCTGGTTCCCAGCCCCCTAAAAACACCCAAAACAGTTACAATACATTAAAACTATTTTCTTTTTCAATATTTTATTAGTGTTTCTTAGAATAAAAGTTATTTAAAAAATTAAAGGAAAAACAAATTTAAAAAAGGTAGAAAAATGTCAAAAAATTTGGAAAATGAGTAACTTGACCGTGCTTATAGGTCATCCCCTGTTGTAGGGTCTCCTGCTTGATCAGGGGGTTGGACTAGAAGACCTCCCAGGCCACTTCCAACTCTTTTATTCTGTTAAATTATTAGATGCTGTGACAGCCACGAGCTCTAGGATTAGTCATAAACCTACTTGTTCATCGCCGTCATAACTTTGAATGGTTGCCAAACAAGCAGTCAGTAAACGAGGACTGCCTGTAATTGATTTTAATCTCTTCCATTTGTATTTGCTTTTGAGAAATAAATGGCCTGGAGGCTCCCGTTCGATCAGAGAAGTAGGGTTTCGTGGTGTAGAATAGAGAAATAAAAAAAACTAAACTTTCCTCTCTTCCCTCCTCTGTTCTGCCTAGTCCCCAGCAAAGAACGGTTCAAAAGGCCTCCACAATAACCACCACCAGCCTCCTCCCACCATCCCTCCCAGCTACCCAATGGGCAGCAGCTCCAGCACATCATCCTCCCTGGGGAACGGGCCTGGCTCCAACAGCAACGGGGCCCTCACGGGCAGCGGGAATGCAAGCAGCAAAGCCAACCCTCCGGCAGGGCACGCACCGACCACCCCAACCCCTTACGCACAGGCTGTGGCGCCCCCACCCCCCAGCACCAACGCCTCACAGCCCCGGCCTCCCAGCACCCAGCAGAACGCCAGCAAGCAGAACGGTGCAACCAGTGAGTGAGCTGCGGAGGGTCTCCGGGTCGCGGGGGCTGCTCTCCCGGGTCTTCCGCGCTTCCTGGAACGCAGAACCTGCAGTCCTGCTGCAGAAGGTGGCCTTTGAAGAAGCTTCTTGCCATCGTTGGGACACCCGGGTGATCTTTTAGTTGTATAGGTAGTCCTCGACGTACGACCACAATCAAGCCCCAGTTTTATGTTGCTAAGTGAAACATTTGTGAAGTGAGTTTTGCCCCAACTTTTTTACAAGTTTTCTTGCCACAGTTGCTAAGCGAACCATCGCATTTGCTAAGTTAGCAACATGGTTGTGAAGTGAATCTGGCTTCCCCATTTGCCTTTGCTTGTCAGAAGGTCGCAAAAGGGGATCACACGACCCTGGGACACTGCCACCGTCATAAGTATGAGTCAGTTGCCGAGCGTCTGAACTTTGATCATGTGACCACAGGGATGCTGCAACGGTCTTAAGTGTGAAAACTAGTCATGTCACTTTTTTCAGTGCTGTTGTAACTTAGAACGGTCACTAAACAAACTATTGTAAGTCAAGGACTACCTATATAGATGGTCCTTGACTTACAACTGTCATTGAGCCCAGAATTATAGTTGTAGGTCATTGCAGTCATAAGTTGAGACATCCACATGACCAGACTCAGTTTTACAACATTTTTTTTTTGCAGCGGTTTTTAAAAGAGCACTGCAGTCACTAAGTGAACGCCACAATAGTTAAGCAAACCCATTCCCCCCCCCAATGGGTGTTTTTTATACTGGAAAAAGGAAATAAACACCAGAAAGCAGCAAAAAACATAAATTGTGAGTCCTGTGACCATGGGATGCTGCAAACGGACATAAAGGTGACCAGGTGGCCAAAAACCCAAAATTCCATCCTGTGACCGCAGGCGGGTATGTAACCATTATAACTCCGCAAACAGGTTATATAAGTTGCTCTGGGGAGGTCCATTGTAATTTCAAATGGTTATTAAGCAGTCGGTCGTAAGTCGAGGAGTGCTTGTATATATAGACTGTTGTTTTACCTGAGAACAACCTTCTGCAGTCGGCTGTCCTCCAGATGTGGTGGGATTCAACTCCCATAAATCCTATCAGGCTTGGCGATGCGTTGAGGTCCAACACATCCAGAGGGCAGCCAGTTGTGGAAAAAGCTGGCATGGGACAAGCAAGGAATCAAGAGGGGAGATCCAGAGCTTCATGTTAGAGAGAATTTAGCCTCTCTGTCTCCTGCCAGGTTACAGCTCCGTGGTAGCCGACAACAGCTCAGATTCGACACTAAGCAGCGGCAACCAGTCATTGCCTAACCAGACAACGTCACACAATCCACCCAGTGCTTCCACGTGAGTATCTTCTGGGGTTTTTCTGTGTCCTCTTCCCTTCCTCTCAATATAACTTTTTTCCCTATAAGCCTGGCAGCTGGACCCAGTAACCACAGTCAACAACACCACCGATGCATGTTTTTCCAGGCTTAGATTCAGCTTTTAACGTGTTTTAAGTTCCAGGTCAGGGGTAGGCAACCTTGGCTCTTTTATGACTTGTGGACTTCAACTCCCAGAATTCCTGAGCCAGCATAGTTATGCTGGCTCAGGAATTCTGGGAGTTGAAGTCCACGAGTCATAAAAGAGCCAAGGTTTTCTACTCCTGTTCTAGGTAGTCCAAGGTCTAAATAATTCAAAAAAATTAAAATTCATTCATGTTAACCCTCGGGAGCTGAGAAACAGTTTCCAACATTTTGCTACTTTCTTCTGTCCCCTTTGAAAATACTATCTGTAGGGTCCCCCACTCCCTAACATTCCCATTTTAGGCAGGTTTTCAAGAGCAGTTTGCTTTTTAACAAGATCATTCTACAATTTGGGAATCATTCCTTGTTTGGTATAGCTGCAGAAAATCTGCAGTAGACTGAATAGCCTCTGTCAGTTTGTGCTGGATTGCTGCAAAGTCGTTATTAGACAAATATGCCAATTATTCCTCAGAAATAGAGGATTTTCACCTTCATGTGAAATTGTAGCATTGTGTATACAGCCTGGAACATGAATAACTTGGAGAAAAGAAATACCTTATATATTTATAAAGGGGGGAATTTAGCTCAAGTGGTGGTTGTTCAGTCTGGTTCCTTTGCAGATCCATGCTAGCGAGGGACAGGTGCTCCTTGACTTACCACCATTTGTTTAGCAACCCTCCCAAGTTACAACGGCACTGAAAAATTGATTTACAATTGGTCCTCGCACTTAGGACCATTGCAGCATCTCCACAGTCACGTGGTTAAAATTCTGGCACTTGGCATGTATTTTTACAAGCGTTCCAGAGTCCTGGGGTCACGTGATCGCCCTTTGTGACGTTCCCAGCCAGCTTCCAACAGGCAAAGTCAATGGGGGAAGCCAGATTCACTTACCAGCTGTGTCGTGGTTCCGACAGATGAAACACTTCAAAAGAACCTCGAGGCATTGTTTACCTTAAAGAATCTTTTATTTTATTCCATAATTGAAGCCAAAAACTGAATTCCCCTCCCCTGGGCACATAGCATCAAAGCACAATTCCCTTCTCCAATTAACAGTCATAAATCACATTCCCCAGTTAGCTTGAAGGGGGCCTCCTCTCCAGTTCTCCAGCCTGCCAATTCTTTATCAGCTCTGGGCTCAATAACCTTGATTCTCATTTGTGTTGTTATGTCTAGCTAGACTCTCATTCACATTCCCCCCCCCAGCGTCATCTAACTCTAAAAGCGAAAGGGAAAAAGATGGCTACATTTTCATCTGTTGTCAATGCAAAACATCCAATGTTAGCAGCGTTGACAAGCTGCATGATTCACTGAACAACAACCATGGCAAAAAAAAAAAAAAGGCGTAAAATTGGGCATGCTTAATGGCCATCTTGCTTAGTTATGAATATTCCATCCCAATTGTAATCGTAAGTCGAAGCAGAGGTCCCCAACCTTTTGGGCACCAGGGACCGGTTACTTGGAGAGAGGTTTTTCTACCGACTGGAGGGGGCGTGGTTTTGAGTGCTGCCTGTGTCCCGTGGATGGGGCTTTGCTTGTTTGTGTGGACCAGTTGCTGGCATGCCACAGCCCGGTACTGGTCCACGAGGAATACGCTGTAATATTATTTCTTTAAAATCTTATGGCTCTTCTGACTCCTTTTCCCAAAGAAACGGGGGGGTCAAGCCACCCCAAGAAACATCTTTGCCTTGCTTCATTCCGATAGGAAAGAGCCCAGTGCAGCTCCTCAGCCATCAAGTATCGGCAACAGCACTGGATCCAGCCTCCTGGTGCCTCTGACTGCCAACCCACCTGCCTCACCCACACCCATCTTCTCCGACAGCAAATCTGCCCAGACGTTGCTCAACGGACCGCCCCAGTTCAGCTCCACGCCTGAGATCAAGGTTAGAAGCCCTCCGGTTCCCTTGTGCCACACTTCCACCCAACAGACGGTTTCAAAGCATTGCTGTGGCTTGTGGGGAAAGACGGCTGAGCTGGGAGAATTTTCAGAACCTGAAAAATTGCAATCTGGGACCCACTAAGACCTGTGCTAGAACCAGAGTTTTCTAACTTGTCAATCAGTGGACTGGTGTTAGAGTGAACAAAAAGTGTTCAATTGTTTAGGCCAGGGGTCGGCAACCTTGGCTCTTTTATGACTTGTGGACTTCAACTCCCAGAATTCCTGAGCCAGCATGGCTCAGCATGGAAACCCCTCCCTTTTCCCTCAGCATGGCTGGCTCAGGAATTCTGGGAGTTGAAGTCCACGAGTCATAAAAGAGCCATGGTTGCCTACCCCTGGTTTAGGCATTTGGAGTAAAACAGGGACAGTACAAGGTTCCAAGAAAAGTGTTGGGATAGGGACAATAAAATGACAAACCTAAAGGAATTTAAAACTTTAAATGGAGAAAAAAACAGTATCCTAATCCTGTACATGTTGGCAGGAAATGAGCTGGTGATGGTTGGCTAGGAAACAGGTTGAGTTTGCGATACACAGCTAGATAAAATTCTCAATGCTGTGAGGATTTTTGGCCGTGAGTGAAAGTGTGAAAAAGCCAGACTTCTTATCAGGCATCACTAGGAATAAAATAAGATGTTAAACTGCCAATTTCTTAATTCCCCTTAACAAATCTGTGGTATGATTGGATTTGAAATACAATGTTCATTTCCAAGCATCATGGGCTGAAATTGATTCCACAATTCTAGAAAAGGGAAATGACCAAAATAACAGAGGGGATTGAACAGTTTTCTAAGGAGAACTAATAGCATGTTGCTGTTTTAACTAGAGAGAGGTAAAAGGGAAGTAAGGGAGGACACAATTAGAATGTATAAAACTCCACAAGGTGCGGAGAAAAATGGATAGAGAAAAATCTTTTTATCCCTTTCCCATAATATTAAAACTTACATCCTTTCATTGAAGTTGAGTGGTAAGAGACATAGGACAAAGGCTTTTGTGGGTTTTTTTAATCAATGCATAGTGGAATTGACTGCCATAAACTAGCTTTGAAAGAGGTTAGATGAAAAGGTAAACGTGTTAGTGGCTTCTGGCCATGATACAAAATGTATTTCCTTCAGAACCAGGGGCAGCATATTTGTGGGTCTTAATTACCGGGGAACGCAAGAACACTTTTGTTCTGATTGCCTGCTGAGAATATCTCAAAATATTTCTGGTTTGTTCTTGAGGACATTGCATAGGCCTTTGCTGTGATTCGGCATGGCTTTAACTGTTTTAGAAAATAACCCCTTGGGCTGATACGTGGAGGTGGGCTTGTTGCATGTTAGCTTTTCAGCAGCTCTGTAAGGCTTGCTAACCAGAGAAACCATGATTGGCTTGAGATCTCCCACAAACTTTGCTTATTCACTTTGTTTTTTTAGCAGAATTCTGTTCTGTCCCTGTTCCGACCCACACACCCAAACAGCCAGCCGAGGGTTTAAAGACTTCTCCAGACACCACTTCACAGATAAGAAACTTGGCAGCAGCTCCGTAGCTGCCTGCCAAGACCTTTTACTCCAAACACACAGAAACAAAAACAATAAACACAGTTTAAAACCACAGCACACTACTTTGCCAGAGATTCAGCTTTTGTCCGTCACAGAGGTCCAAATGGCCACCACCACCCTTTTATAGCCTGTGGGGTGTGGTCCAGTGACTCAGCTTAATCTCTGGCACGCCTCTTTTTCTGCTGCGCATGCTTGTCACTCCTACGCTGGTGTGGATCCAGCCACAACTTTTCTTCCTCATTATCCCACACACCTGGCTCCTAGCCAATCTGAGAAACACCGGGCTCCTGGCCAATCTCAGAACCACCTGGCTCCTGGTCAATCTCTTCTCTGTCGGAAGATACCTGAGGCATTGCCGAAGAGGCGGGTCCTGGAGAGGGAAGCCTGGCCATCTCCTCTCCTTCATGTTCGGAGCCTTCTTCCTCCGATAAGAGGGGCTCACAAGACGGAGCCACAACAAGTTCTTAAACACAAAGGTGTGTCACCTTTCTCCATTACCTCCTTTCTTATGGGTCTGTCTTTTGTTCTGTAGGCGCCTGAACCTCTAAGTACGTTGAAGTCCATGACTGAAAGGGTAGCAATCAGTTCTAGCATAGAAGACCCCGTGCCATCTCTTCACCTGGCTGAAAGGGGTAAGTGAAAAAAGGGACATCTCCTCCCTCAAGCTATGGGTCAGGAGCAGGGTCAAAGCAGTGCAAAATGTCTGCAAAATGTCTCTCTGTATAAGAGAGAGAGAGAGATCCCCAGTAAATCCACTAACTATGTTTCCCATTATCTTGAAGCAGAAAATACCCAAAACTGTAATTTAAATCCTGAAGTAAATGCAGTTCTTCCATATCCGGATCAAACTTTAAACTGCCAGAATGAAGCCATCCTCCTGGCTGTGTCACTGGCCAAAACTAAGTCACTATTGGTACATGTTTCGGTTAGTAGCCGACATATCAGCAGATGGGATGGGCTCTGCGTTTCTCCACATTCACACAGCATGTTGTTGTCTGCTAAGAGCATCCACTTGGTTTTACACTTGGGCTCTCCAAGTCTCAACCTATCCAGGGTCCTCCAAGTAGTATAAGGGAAGTCGGATTCTTCAGCCATAGCCTCCTTTAATGTTATTCCTTGCTTGGTCTCCTTCCTCCACCTTTAATTCCATTTTGTTTTTGTGTAGTATCCAGAATGTTTGTTCTTAAATGCCAAATTACACACACACACACACACACACACACACACTTGAAAAATCCCAGTCCTATCTATGTGTAGGATGAAGCCCCATTGGATGGATGGATGGGTGGGTGGGTGGGTGTATTTAAAACATTAAAATTAACAAGATTAGGTAGAAAACTAGAAAACCCAAAGTAAGAAGAGTACGTAGGTGGCATCTTCCCTCTTAGTCCACCAGCCATCTCAAGCAAAGAGCGCCCCCATCAGGACCCCAAGCTAACTAGCAGAAGCATGCTAGTTAACTCTTCTGGAAGGCAGAAGGGTGGGGGCAGACCATACCTCCCTATGCAAGATGCTCCAAAGAAGGGGGGGGCACTGCAGGAAGGGCTCTCCTCCTACACTCCTCCAGCCGAAACTCCTTGACCGATGCCTGCAGTGTGCCCCTTCTGCGAAATTGAGTGGGGTGGGCCAATCCCCTTAGGCTATGATGGTTCCTTGGATAACCTGGTCCCATTCATTGCAGTTGGATCCTTCTATCCCCAGCAAAGTTAAATATAGCTCTGGCAACCAAAAATTAACCCCTATGCATATGCCCCCCCCCACACACACACACACACATCTTCCCCAATAAAGGATCAGACCCAAGTAGTTCTCATCTTCCCTGTTCCTCAAATCTCAAATGTTTCTTCTTCTTCCGGCCATCCATTATATTGGCAGTTCTGGAATCAATAGCCTTCTGCTTTGGAAGGAAAACAGGATATCAATCAAAGTAAATATCTTCGGGCCAAGTGTGGGCCCGTGACTTGCCCACTGCTGTTTTGTTTTTTATCCATTGGATTGTAAGAAACAAAGAGAATATTTGACTTACTGTGCAGAGCAAAATAAAAAAGTCTTGGTGAAACTGTGGATTAGGGAAATTAAAGAGAAAGGGATCTGGAAGGGAAAAATTGTGATTTTCAGGAAAAAAAAGGGGGCGAGCTGTTCCCTCCACATCAGCCTTCTCCACTTTGGTGTGCTCCAAAAGGGTTGGCTTGCAATTGTCTTAAAATTATTCCCAGGTTAGGCACTGAGAATCGAGGATAGACACTGAAGTCTGGTTTATGTTTTCACCTATTTTTGTTCTTAAGTGATTATTGCCAAGCAAATCTTTCTAGTTGGATCTAGGACAGTGTTTTTCAAACTTGGCAACTTTAATATATGTGGACTTCAACTCCTGGAATTTCCCAGCCAGCCAGAATTCTGGGAGTTGAAGTCCATGAATCTTCAGGTTGCCAAGTTTGAAAAAGAAAAATCTAGGGTCTTGGGGAGGAGTAGGAATTGTCAAAATAATGACAACCCTAAGTGTACAATTTCTGAGTGGTCCTTCCTTCCTTCCTTTGCTCCAGCTGACATCTTAATTACTAGCACAACATCTCAGCCAACCTCCAACCAGCCCCCCATCCAGCTCTCGGAGGTGAACATCCCCCTTTCCCTCGGGGTGTGCCCTCTGGGGCCCGTGCCTCTCATTAAGGAGCAGCTCTACCAACAGGCCATGGAAGAGGCCGCCTGGCACCACATGCCTCATCCTTCTGATTCGGAAAGAATCCGGTAAGGGGGAATCACGGGGGGAAAGCCCGAGGACAGGAGGGCATTGGAGTAACAATCAATCTCATCTCCTTGGAGAAAAGGGGAAAGAGGGTGGACTGAATGGCAGTTCCTTAAAATTTATATTGCTGTAGTTTTCAAATTAGTTCAGGACCTTCTTGGTGATTTCCGAGCCTAGAGGTAGACCTGGACTTAGCAACCACAATCAAGATCAGAGTTTCTGTTGCTAAGCAAGCTGAGTTGCTTAGCCTGATTTTGTGACTTTTTAATTTTTTTTTGCCACGGTGGTTAAGCAAATCATTGCGGTTGTTAAGTGAATCATGTGTGGTCGTTAAGCCAATCTGGCTTGCCCCATTGATCTCATTCGTTGGAGCCATATGGACGGGTGACAAATGGCGATCATGTGACCGTAGGGAGGCTGGGATGGTTGTAAATCAGGGGTAGTCAATCTTGGCTCTTTTATGACTCGTGGATTTCAACTTCCAGAATTCCTGAGCCAGCTATGCTGGCTCAGGAATTCTGGGAATTGAAGTCCACGAGTCATAAAAGAGCCAAGGTTGACTACCCCTGTTGTAAACGCAAGAACTGGTGGTAAATCATTTTTCAAGTGTTGTCGTAACTTCGAACTGTCGTTAAACGAATGCTTGTTGCAAGTCAAGGACTGCCTATATGCGCCATTTTAATAGCTAAAATTGAATCTGAATGTCAAGTAAAACCACGACGGAACCTCACAATTTTATAAAATAAAATCTTTTGCTTAAAGCCACCTTTTTAATCAGAAGGACATAGCTTGCTATAGTGTAGCATAATTCCTGAAATACTTGTTTTTGAGAAATTTGCTCTTGCTTTTTGTATTTACACTTTATAGCATCGTCTGTAAAAAAAAATAAAAAATCCTAACTTTGCTAATGGCTTGTCCGGGCAGCACAGGAGCTAATTTTGGCAGCAACCCAGCTTTATGTGTGTAGGCCACAAGGGTTGTGAATCCGGAGCTGGGGCCTGGTCAGGACTTGTTCCTGCACTGCCTGGATGAGCAAATGGGAAGGAAAGCCCACTCTTACAGAGATCCTAGTTGTGGGTCTATCAACCATCAGGGTTGGCCTTTCAATTAGGACCGTCCTTGAGTCAGGTGACTTTCTGTGACCCTCTCGCCATCCCAGCCTGCTTCTGATATTGATCCAGTTGCCCTGTGCCCTCATGCAGTCAGGAAATGCTGATGAGCACCTCAGGTAGATAAACCAGACGTAGAGCAACGCCTGGCTGCCATTATAAGGCCATGAACAGAGCTGCAGAAACCGCCTTCTAGCCTTATCACTGGGATTGGTGGAGGGAGAGATGGCAAATAACATGCTAGAGGCAAGGAAAAGTGTGCTGATAATTGGACACTGGGGTAGTCCCCGAATTACAAGAGTTCATTTAGTGACAACGGCACTGAAAAAAAGTGACTTATCACCATTTCTTTTTAATAAATTTTATTAGTTTTAATAGGGTTGGGGATAAAATGGGGTCAGGATTAGGATTAAGGTTTGGGTTAGGGTTGGGGTTTTTCCAGGTAACATTTTCAATATTTAGCAAACAGCATATTGTGTGGGTACATGTATTTAACAATAATAGATATAGTTAATTATCATAAACAGTATTAACCACTCAGTAGCCTTCTTCTTACTAATATATATTCAAAATTACATGTCACATTCCTTCCTCTCTGATCGTTTTTCTAGCCATTGGTAAAAATTATCCCATGTTCTAAAGTAGACTCAGTCTTCTTTCTCTTTAATCTCTAAAGTCAATCTGTCTTATGACCATTTTTCACAGTTATGACTTTTGCAGCATCCCCAGAATCACGGGATCAAAATTCAGATGCTTGGCAACTGCTTCATACTTACGACCATGGCTATATCTCAAGGTCATGTGATCCCCTTTTTTGCAACCTTCTGATGAGCAAAGTCAAGGGGGAAAGCCAGATTCACTTAACAACCAGGTTGCTAACCTTTATCAACTGTGGTGATTCACTTAACAACCGTGACAAGAAAGGTGGTAAAATGGGGCAATCTCACTTAACAAATGTCTCACTTAACAACAGAAACGTTCGGGCTCAATTGTGATCGTAACTTGAGGACTACCTGTGGATTGAATGCAATTGGATTCTGTCAGACCACATTTCTGCTCTTCTCGATAAATGCTTATTAGGGCACTAGAAGGAGCCAGTTCTGGCAGCAATTTTGCTTTGCTTGTTCTAGTCCAGGGGTAGGCAACCTTGGCTCTTTTATGACTCGTGGACTTCAACTCCCAGAATTCCTGAGCCAGCATGGCTCAGCTTGGAAACCTCTCCCTGTCCCCTCAGCATGGCTGGCTCAGGAATTCTGGGAGTTGAAGTCCACGAGTCATAAAAGAGCCAAGGTTGCCTACCCCTGTTCTCATCCCACAAAAATGTGTGCTCTCCTCCCTCCCCCCCCCAAGTGTCATGACTCAGTTTGAGAACTCCTTCAACTTGCCACACTTCTCATCATCCAGGCAAAGTGTTCCTCTTTCTTCCTTTGGTCACTTCCTAAAACCCAGGTGGGCCGGCCTGTTTGGGAAGACTCACTTCTCATGTCGTGAACGAGAATTCAGGCCACTGCGGGAAGAGGAAGGAAACGGAGCTGGCCACCATAGGATCCAGGCTTCTGATGGCCACCAGTTGAGGAAGGATTGAGGCTGAATATTGTTATTCCCTACACTTAGGAGACATCTTGTGAATTCCCCGAGTTTCTCATAGGCTTACTTCTCTCTTTTCTGTTCTCATTCTCCCTTCTCGCCCCCAACCCACAGGCAATACCTTCCTCGGAATCCCTGTCCGACTCCTCCATACCACCACCAGATGCCTCCTCCACACTCCGACACGGTGGAATTCTACCAGCGCCTCTCCACAGAGACTCTTTTCTTCATCTTCTACTATCTGGAGGTAACAGACAGCCCCTCCTTCCATCCCCTTTGGTAGTTTGGAAGAGGAATCGTGCTGCCTTTCTTGGCTGTCCATGCTGAGTCATTCCTGAGGGTTATCTTACGGTGGGTGTGAGATAATCGACATCTCTGCCCTTGACCTGCAAATCCCGCTGCTCTGATCTGTTTTCCCTCTTTTACTTCAAAGGGTACAAAGGCACAATACCTGGCAGCAAAGGCACTGAAAAAGCAATCGTGGCGCTTCCATACGAAGTACATGATGTGGTTTCAGCGGCACGAAGAACCTAAGACCATCACTGATGAGTTTGAGCAGGTGAGGGTGAAGGTAATGGGGTACTATCTTTTTTGCAGTGATCGTTAAGCAAACTCTGCAGTCATTAGATGAATCCATTATCCACAATGGGTGTTTTTGGCCAGAATCGTAGTCACCTGATTGCAAGATACTTCTAGCGGCCATAAATATGGGAGGTGGTTGAGTGCTCAAAAGGCAATTATGTGGCCATGGAGGGGGGGGGGTGGCCATCAGAACTTTGAATCTAAGTTGTAGACCTGGGGAGGTCCATTGTCAGTTTGAATTGTCCCTAAGCAACCAGTTGTAAGTCAAAGAGTATCTGTAAACAGTTAAAAAAAATAGCTGTATTCAGATTAGCATCAGCCATGACCTTGTATTCACTGCAGCAATGCAGGATTTAGCTACCACAGAGGTCATAGGGGCTTTCTTTTTTATCTGAAACAGAGTTCAAACAATAATTATCCATTCTCCCTTGGTATTGACATAGCAAGGATAGGCCATAACTATTCCAAATATCCCTATAGAGCTCAAGGCACCGTTTAAGGTCATGATAACCTTTTCTGTTATGCCTTCATCGGGATTAAAAATGTAATGTTTCTTATAACTTTTATGGCCAGAATAGAGAACCTGGTTGGGCATTGGAGGAAGACAGAAGAAGAGTTAACCAAATCAGGTTCCTCTTTGGAAAAACCTGGTGCTTTTTTAGTTGATTAGCTATTCTTCCATAGAATTAGAAGTTGCTTTTCTATAAGCCTAGGCCAGAGGTAGGCAACGTTGGCTCTTTTATGACTCATGGACTTCTACTCCCAGAATTCCTGAGCCAGCCATGCTGAGGAGAAATGGAGAGGTTTCCATGCTGAGCCATGCAGGCTCAGGAATTCTGGGAGTTGAAGTCCACAAGTCATAAAAGAGTCATAAAAGAGCCAAGGTTGCCTACCCCTGGCCTAGGCTATGCAAGCTGCACTGTCACTCCATGTATATGTTTACGAATGAGGTGGTCCCACTTGTCTCTCTGCTGCAGTCACCTGAGTGGATGAATGTCTGTAAATGCGGTAAATTACTGATATGGTAGCTCTGCTTCACATTTCTTAAAGAAGGCAAGATGGAGGTTCTTTTGAGGCTGATGTCATCCACCACCGAAAAAGTGATCATGCCATTTTCCCATCACCCAAAACAGCTTTAGATTCTTCCATACCTTGCATGTCTGATGTACTTTTTTCCTCTCAGGAAAAAAAAAAGACATGAAGAAACTGCTTCCTCCTAAATTGCCAAAGTTGTAAACTTCAAGTTTGTGTAAAGTGACATTCTGTGAGACTCTTACAAGAGAAGGCCCACTTAAAGCCACAGGACTCCTGCTTTCATGTGGAAGGGCAACAGGTGTCATCTTGGCAACAGAGTCCAGGATTCCTTTAGTATAAGTAAATATGTTCAGTCAGGCAAAAAGTAATGAACTCTGTTGTATTTTCCTGTTTCTGCTCAGGGCACTTACATCTACTTCGACTACGAGAAATGGGGCCAGCGCAAAAAGGAGGGTTTCACCTTTGAATACCGCTACCTGGAAGACCGGGACCTGCAGTGATGCCCTGGGGCCAGCAGGGGGTGCCAAGTTTTCCTTCCAGAGACAGCTGTGGTGGTGTGTTGGGGGCAGCGGCAAAGGAAGACCCACCTACCCCTCACCTCTCTTCATCTTCCCCCCCAGATCACAAGCGGGGTGGGAGGGGGCAAGCCGCATGTTTAAAAAAACAAATGCATGCAAGTTTTAAAAATGACCGCAGGACGGAGGAGGAGGGGCAGCGGCAGTGGCAGGCTTCTCCTCTGCCTTTTCCTTGCTCTCTTCTGCCCGTGAAGAGGTCAGAAACGGGGAAATGCCCTTCATGCGCACCAGGTTTGGGCGCCAGAATGGAGATTAAAAGGAAAAAAAAAAAGAATTTGAGAATCCCACCAAAAGAGTGACTTCCCCCATTCTCCATTTTGTGTGTGTGTTCTAAATAAGAGCATTTCAGCCCCGTACTTATTTGCAGCAAACACAAAACACCCAACTGCCCTTTTGCCAGCCCTCCCCCATTTTTTTTTTCATTTTTTTTGGGTGCAAACTCCGTCCCCTGTTTGGCTATCATCAAATGCCCAATGTGACCTTGACAATATCAGGTCCCATGAACCTTATGGTGACCGTTCTCCGACCCCTCGTCCACTCGCCATTGCTGAAAATGGCAGATTGGCAAAAAATAATAGGATTGCAAATTTGGGAGCATCAACCTCAGGTTACAAAGTCTCCCGGTGACCACGGAAATTCTGGTGGATTGGCCCCTGTCAGCTTTTGGCTGCCCTAATTTTGACTTGCTTTTTCTGCAAGTTGTAAGGAGATCCCTATGCCCTTAGTTGTCCTCATTTGGAAGAGTCCCTTTCCTGACTGGAACAATGATGTTAGGGATTCTACATTCTCCCCAACAGCTGCTTTTCCTTTCCTTTCCAATGTTCCAAAATATTGCCACCGTAAATTTGATAAGAGCTTGTATCTAATCTGCTGCTCCTCCCACAGGAAGACACCCCCCTCCCCAATAAGACTTGCAATTTATTCCTAATTGGAAAGGGAGACATTTGGGAAAACTTGTGGGGGGGAGGTGGGACCGATCTCTCCTCAACCAGCCCCCTGAACTGGAGCATCCTGCCCACGCCGCTGTTAAGATATTTTTTCGTAAGCCTATTTTCATTTTGGAAAATATTTATGAATAAATAGTTTTATATGAGTGTTCTTCTTCTGTTGTACAGGGAAGGGAGACGAAAACCACCAAACCTTGGGGGTGGGAGAAAGGACTCCATAATCTTTTGGGATATGAGCTGTGAGCCAGAATGACACATAATATATTCAAGCCCTGTCTGGAGGCTCCCTGGAATATACAGGTAGTCCTTGACTTATGACCACAATTGAGCCCAACGTTTTCTGTTAGGTGAATCTTGCCGTTTTATGACCTTTCTTGCCACTGTTATATGAATCACTGCAAAGTTAATAGCACAGTTGTTAATGAATCTGACTTTGCTTGTCAAAAGGTCACAAGTGATCACGTGACCCTGGGATAAATATGAATTGGTTGCCAAATGTTTGAATTTTGATTATGTGACCATGGGAATGCTGCAAATGGTCGTGTGAAAAATGGTCATAAGTCACTTTTTTTAGTGCTGTTGTAACTTCAAACAGTCACTAAATGAACTGTTGTAAGTCAAGGACTGCCTGTATTGCCTCCAGTGCTATCCTTTTGAGCCCATTTAAGGGCTGGAAGCCACATTCTCTGTACATGAAGTATGCATGTGGTAGTGATGATGTCACCTTTATCAAACCTACTTAGAAGCCTAAACCAAGAAAATTTATTTTTATAAATATGACTAGAAGTAAATTTCCTTGGCGTGCTTTCCAGCCACATGCCATTTTTTGACAGTTTGTAATACTCCAAAATAATATAACTTATGGCTGACCAGGACAACATCAGAATGACAATTTAATATATTAAAAGGGAAATGTTTATTTGGATAATGAAGAAGCAGCCAGATACAACATGTGAAGCAAATTGTGGCTATTATTTCACAATCAATCTGGGAGAATCCTGCAGTAATCTGATCACAGACAGTAAATCATGACTGTTTCCAGTACACAAAGTGTGCTAAGCTTTTAAGTCATGTTGCAAACCACTTTCTCAAGTGGAATAAGCCAATCAAAACTATGACTATTGTTCAGGAAGTATCCTTGTAAGATGTGGCCTTGAAATTTCAAGTCATGGACGATCTGCACAATCCTGTTTTTATATAATTTGGCTAATTAGCATATCACAACCTTTCTTACATCACTTAGCCTGCATTACTGTGAAGTACTCCAGTCTTTCACAACTAGAGCAGGGCTTTTCAACCAGTGGTACGGGTACCACCTGTGGTACATTGGCACCTGGCAGGTGGTACGCGACCATCCTAGAAAAGTGGTAACGGGGGAGGGGAATGAGCTGAACCGGTGGCAGCACCGCACAAGCCTGAGCGAGAGACGGCTGGAGCTGCAGGGCTGTCAGGGCTCAGCAGAAGCGCCAGGATCAGTGCCACTTTCCAGCTGATTGGTGCTTCTTCGGGGCTGTTGGCTCAGTGGAAGCGCGAGTCTCCAGCTGGAGCTCGGCGCTGATCCTGGTGCTTCTGCTGAGCCCTGAAGAAGCACCAATCAGCTGGAATGTTGCAGCATCTCCAGGGTCTTGTGATTTACATTCAGATGCTTGGCAACTGATTCATATTTATGATGGTCAGTGTCCCAGAGTCATGTGAAGTGACCAAAACCTGCTGCAACCACCCAGCAAACGGGGGGGAATAAAAACCAAACACCCCCTCACCCCACCCCCGCTGCCAATCAACAGAAATGCTCACAACAATGGAAACCTCAGGAGGAAGAGCGCGGCTGGGTGGGCAGGCAGGTGTCTTGCTTGGCTGTGGCTTGAGGGGCACTTTTTTCAGTGCCATTGTAATTTCAAACAGTCACTAAGCGAACTATTGTAAGTCGAGGACTACCTGTACTTTATTACTTTTTTCCTTTTTTTTTTTGGTCAAGTTTTTGACACTTTGCTGGTGGTACTTGGATGTTGCCATATCCTAAAAGTGGTACAATGGGTGAAAAGGTTGAAAAGCCCTGATCTAGAGAATATAACATTACAAAATGCTCTTATTATAGGGATAAATCTTCATAGTGGTCCAAAATCATTCTTGTGCTCATTTCCCTAATGGCAGAAGATCACATACAAAGACGAGCACTGAATTACAACAGCAGGAAACTGGCAATACTAATTTTCTTAACTAACTGGACCACGTACAAAAAAACGGAAGAATGATCCCTCCAGGATCTTCCACCATTCGTTCTTGAAGAACTCAGTGTATCCCAGGTTTGGTGCTTTTAATTAATACCTTGGTCCATCTCTTAGGGCAGTAAATTAATATTTTGAGACAGATGTACATGGCACTGCCTCAGTTCTCCATACTGCGTGAGATGGGTTTGCTGCTGCTGCTACTTCTGACTTTTAAAATTAAATTCAGAATCATCCACGTGATGCCTTTTAAAAACTTTTTTATTTTCCTTCAGGAAAGCTATAAAAATTTAGGCAAGTTACTGGATCAGGAAATGGTATCCTTTATCAATCCAGCTTTTATCTATTTTCTGGCAATTCAAGGCAAACAGCAAAAATAGATTTATTAATTGCTTGGCTGATTTTCCTGCTCAATATTGTGTTCCAAGGACTGATAATAATTGAGTAAAAGCTGTCCTAGAGGCTATATGACAAAGACATTTTTGGCCAGGAATTCTATGAAGCATTTTGCACTGAACATTTTCAGCTGAAGGAATTGGGTTTGACTAACCAGATTTCCTGCTTTACACCCACTCAATTCGACTGTCTCTCACTACTCTCTTTCTTGCCAGCTGAGGGTTGAACTGTGAATTGTAGCCACGTTTCCTTTCATCCATTTCCTCTTCTTCCTCCCGGAGTGGACCCATTCCAGATCTCTGGGCAAGAAGAGATTCCGTTCGAGCTCGTTCTGCCTGCTCACGCTGCAACCTCTCCTGGCGGAGCTGTTCTAGAGAGCATGATGTGGAAGAAGATGGAGGCCTGTGAAGGAAAAGAGAAAACGATAGGAAGGGAAGTGAAGAGATACGGGACCCAGGAAAGTTCATCAATCCTTGCTCTTCTAAGTGAAGAGCCGCAAAGATACGGCTTGCCTAAATTGTGTCTCCTCGATCAGATGTTTTGGGCTCTCCAGGTATGCACTGAATTGTAGGGAAGAAATTACAAGTTGTAGGAGCCATGGTGGCACAGTGGTTAGAATGCAGTATTACAGGCTAACTGCCCACAGCCAGGATTTCGATCCTGGCAGCGCTCAAAAGTTGACTCAGCATTTCATCCTTCCAAGATCGGTAAAATGAGGACTCAGATTGTTGGGAGGCAAAATGCTGATATCTAAATCGCTCAGAGAGTGCTGTAAGGCAGAATATGCTATGTAAGTGCTATTGCTAGTCCTCGACATACAGCCATCCGTTTAGTGACTATTTGAAGTTACAGTGCCATGGTCACTTGTTCAAAATTTGGATACTTGACAAGCGACATGCATCGCATGTCCCAAAGTCATGTGATCACCATTTATAACCTTCCCAGCTAGCTTCTGACAAGCAAAGTCAGTGGGGGAAGCCAGACTTGCTTAACAACTGTGGCAAAAGATCATTAAATGGGACACAACTCGCTTAACTGTCTTGCTCAGCAATTGAAATTTTGGGCTCCACTGTAAGTCGAGGACTACCTGTATAGTTCAGCAGGACAGATTTGCTTTTGTATTCCTAAAGGTCCAGTTAAAACTAGCTGATAATATAATGTCAGGCATAGAATATGAAGTACTGCAGCATTAGAATGGCTATTCTTTTAATCGGCTTAACTCCAACATAGCTGATACTGTCATGCCCTGTGATTCTATAACGGCTACACATAGCTGGCTTTATTCAAGACAAGCGAAAGATGCATCCCAATAAAACAGCTAAAACACTGGCCTCACGAAGGCAGCTTGAGAGCTATATACAAAATCTGATCTAATCCTCAAACACCAGTAGGCCCACCCTTCTATATTGTGCTCTCCAGAGTGATATCTCTTCCAACAACATCAGCCCAAAAATACACCTCCAGATTCCCTAAGTATTAACCTTAGTTTGTTTCTTGCAGGTTGATGTTCTATCTACATCAAGCAAGGGCTTCAATTTAGAGTCCACTTAGTTTCTCCCCGCTTCTTCTCCAAAAGTCAAAGCTATCTGACAAAGAGAGAGCGGTTGACTCGTGGATGCTCTAAAACAAAAAACAAAAAAACTCCCATCACAGTCACCGAACAGCCATTTGCTACTCGATATTGGCAAATTTTCCTGAGTGCACAACAAAAAGGGTACCCACCTAAGTGCTAGGTTCCCTTTGCTTTCTTTGTGCTTTGGTTTTCCTTTTTCTTTCTTTTCTTCCTTTTTATGAGAGGACTTCTTCTTGTATAAATATTTCCCCATCTCAGCCAGGGGGTCCAGCCTTCCCTTAAGTTTCTCATCCTTGGCAATGGCTTTGCTCCGATCTGGCAGCTCCTGGTACCAGGGAGCAGAGGTCTGAGACTCTGCCGCACTTTGGCCCAAGTAAGTCAGGATACCTAGAGCTTTTTCCTTTCGTTCCTGTAAGGAATAAAAAGCCAAGGAAATTAGTCATGCTATCCATCCATCCATCCATCCATCTTATGGACACACTCTGGTGATCCAAGTATATAATTTCTCTCCAAAGAAGTATTGCCCTATTCTTCTTCTCTAAAGCAAACTGCTTATCGTGGATTCAGTGGATTCCCTGGGATCCAATGTAGAATATAATTAATTGATTATAATCCCTCCCTTCTCCTGACAGGTTTTAGTTAACAGTAACCAATAGGCATTGGGCTACTCTGGTTTAAGGTACAAACACCTGATTATTTAGGATACAAAAGTTAGCTGAAGTTGTCCGAAGGTTGAATCGTGGTAACAGGACTTTTTTATTATTTTATTAGTCTGAGACGTTTCACTGCTCCTCCAAGCAGCTTCATCAGTCAGAGCAAGCTAGTTCGGCAGAGAGTCACTGAAATGTACCAACTCTTGCCACAATCTCAGGGCTTCCTCTCCAAAATGTGTTGCAATATGTCAGTGAAAACTCGCAGTCATCCAGACAAAGATGTCTGAAAGTTGAATCCAGTTGCCGTGATTCAACCTTCAGACACCTTTGCCTGAATGACTGAAGAGTTTTCATCGACATATTAGCCTGAAGTTGTTTAGATTATCAGGAAGGAAAAATACAGTCCATGTAAAAAAAAAACCTGCTAAATCAGGATTCCATTTACCAACAAGCAGATTTATTTAATATATTTAAAAGGTCTGTGCCTAAATATTAATGCTACTGTCCATACTTCGTTCTCAGAACCCATAAACGGGAGCCTGCCTATCTCAAAGCTCTCAGTGCCCAAGTAGGCAAACTAGAGAAAACAGAATTTTGGCAAACTCCAATCTTACTTCCCACCATTACCTTTTCCTGCTTCTTCTCCTCCTCGTATTCTTTGTTGCCGACCTCTTGCAACCCCTGAAAGAGGTTAAGATGTCCTGAGGGCTTTTCTGAATCCAAAGAAATAAGGTCTGAGCCACTCTTATCACCTCCTGGAGCTGACAGACGTGCTTTCTTCCGTAACAGTTCAGTCCGGGCCTAGAATCAAAGGCAGATATTTGTCCAAAGCTCATATTTAGGTCAACGCTTCTATTTGTCCAAGACAACATCCTAAATAGCATGGAAGCCTCTGTGTGTTTCACGTCAAGAGCAAGTAAGATGGTAATAAAAACAAATCTAACACATTTGCGCCATAAGAGTCTACATTTAATTATTGTGTTTAAATAGAATGTGGATAAAGCAGCTATCCTCTAAATTAGACGACTCCTCAGATAATAGGACTACAGTAATACAATCAAGGACACAAATAATGGCAGATCCTTGATTTTGAAGATTTCCTTTATTATCTTGTATCATTATTCTCTATGTATCAACAATCACCTTTCCAACTTTTTAATCTCTCGCATCATTCTATTTAATTTACTGCATGATAATTGACTTCCTGTTGTAATAAGGATAAATTGTTTCAATTCAGGATATAGACCAGTGATGGTGAACCTTTTAGAGACCAAGTGCCCAAAAACCGCCCCCCGCCCCTGCTCCACCTCTCGCCCTGCTTGCTCTGCCCCCTGCTCCACCCGCCCACAGGGCCATGCACTGCCTCAATGGCCCACCGTAGCAGATCACCCAGGCAGCCTTGCAGCACCATGGCAGCCACGCCCTCCGCCCACACCCTGCAGCAGCATCTGTACACTATGGAGCGCGAGGGCAGAGTCTTGTCCCTGCTGCCCGGCTATGTCCTTGGCTGTGCTGCTCCATGCAGGCCACGCCTGGGGGCTGCTGGAGAGGAGGGGGCCGCAGGGGGAGACGGGGCTGGGGCGATGGCACACGTGCCCACAGAGAGGGCTCCAAGTGCCGCCTTTGGTACGTGTGCCAGAGGTTCACCACCACTGATATAGACTGTGTCATTAAAGGCGAAGAAAAAAACATTAAAAGAGTGTTAGTGTAGGAGAAGTACACAAAAAGGCACTTTAATAAATCATGCAGAGCTTTACATCTCATTCAGTGGTTCCCTACATATTAACTTATGCCTCAGACCAGTGGTGGCGAACCTATGGCACAGGTGCCAGAGGCGGCACTCGGAGCCCTCTCTGTGGGCACACATGCCGTTGCCCCAGCCTTGCCTTCCCCTGCGACCCCCTCCTCTCCAGCAGCCCCCCTGAAGGAGAGTCGCCCTTGAGCGTGGCCCACACGGAGCAGCGCAGCCAAGGACATGGCAGCCAGGCAGCGTAGACAAGATTCTGCCCTCACACCCCATCATGCAGTTGATGCTGCAGGGCGCGGGCAGAGGGTGTGGCCGCCATAGCGCTGCTGGGTTGCCTGGGCGATCTGTGGCGGGCCGTGGAGGCATTGAGTGGTCCTGTGGGCAGGCGGGGCGGGGGATGGGGGGCAGAGCGGGGACAGGCAGGGGGTGGAGTGGGGGCGGGGCCAGTTTTTGGGCACTCAGTCTCTAAAAGGTTCACCATCACTGCCTCAGACGAAAGGAAACAGCAATGGGATCTCCAACATTAGAAGAATAACAAAAATAGTCCTATGACACCTTGTCAGTTTTCTTCTTTCTTCCACTGATTTAATAACAGCAGCAGATATCCTGATTTCAATCAAATCCCAGACTAAGTAAAATCAATTTTGGCAAAGAATTTATTTCCTCGGTTTAAAACTAGGGCCTTTCAGACTGGCTGTTCTTAAATTAGGCTTTTCTCAAATTTAATCCATTCAGGCCAGATGTACAGAAGAATCCCAGGTACTGAATGGTGTTTCACATTCACAGTTAGCTGCCAATTATAACCTCGGATAAAACTGCTGCCTTTCATAAAGCTCCAAAAACCTGGCACTGTGTTCGAGTCTGGGGCTCCAAGCATGCCAAGTGATCGGTCTTCTGCATCTTTGGAAGAGTGTTGATTTTCTTAGCTGCTGTGTATTTTGGCTTGTGTGTGTGTATTATTTTAATTTTATCACTGACCCCCATTCAGAGTCATTGTTGAGATGGACAGCTATGTAAATTGAATCATTAGATAAATAAAACTATATCAGGCTTTTCAACAGATGGCCCACGTCATTAGAATATCTTCCCAGCAGAAATGTAAAGAAATCTCATTCTTGGAATATATAAGAACATCCCAAATATAACTTTGAGGCTCAAGTCATCTTTCTGATTTGTTTAAATGCATTCTTTTTTAACCGAGGATGCTTCTGTATTACAGAATAGAGAAAATCTGAACAAGGAGGCAGGCAGTTTGATTCTGACAACCATGGAATCCCACTGTTGTCAAAAGCAAACTGCCTGCCACCTTGTTCAGATTTTTTCTAAAAGTCTGCATAAAATTCAGGTTTGGCTTGGTTTATTAATACATGCAGGGAGATGAATGTAGGATCATTCTGTATGCAGAATGAACAAGGAGATAGATCCAGACAGAACGTTTAGATCCCATATAAAGCTTTTTCTTAAATGTAATCAAAGAGTTATTTTGACCTCACTTCCTCACTAGGGAGTTAGTTCTGTCCATTTGGAAGCACTTAACTTTTATGGATTTGATTAGATGCAAAGTATTATCATAACCGAAATTCGACTTAAAAAGAAATAAATTTGACATTCATTTCCCTCCCAGAAATATTTCCTCCAGAAAAAAAAAAGATGAACAGAAGCCGCATGCGCAGTAGTTTTTACTATTGCGACTTGGAATGCAGCGCATGCGCAATAATTCCAAACCTTACAGTGCGGTCCTCTTTGCGCATGCCCTTTCATGATTATTTACCTCCTGTTCAGCTAATAGGACTCGGGCCTCCCTCTTTTGTCGCTGAACTTCAGCCTCTGCTTCGTCCCGGCGTACGCGAGCCACATTGTCTTTGTTGCGAACATGCCACGACTTCTTAGGAAGAATATTCATTCCCGCAGCTTATGACAATGCTAGAATCGCCACAAATGTCCTCCGTTTCCTGAATCGTTCTTCACCGGCTGCCATCGAGCTCCGCCCCCTTGCTCTATTAGGGGCGTTGCCGTTGCCTCCGTACTGTACGTGCTTCATTGCATCCACTCATGTTTGCCTGCGCGAACTCGGGCGGCCTTTGCATCCGGAGCTGCTATTTGATTGGTTTGGACCAGTGTTCTTCAAACTTGGCCACATGCTGGCTGGAGAATTCTGGGAAATGAAGTCCACACACATTAAAGTGGCCAGGTTTGGAAAATCATTGGTTTGGATTGACCGTACTAAGAATTGGGAATTATATTTGTTGAATGCTGAAAAATCTGTGATTGTGAGACCAAGAGTGGTATTTGCTTTTTAAAACACACTTTACCATTTCTCCCTACATGCTAAATTAAGTGTCACTTGCAGCACTGTGGAAGGGAAGACTGGACATCAGTAACTCTTTTCACTGCACAGTTGGACTACTGCAATGCACTCTATAGGAGCTGCCTTAGCCTATAGCACTCCTTTAGGAAGTATTTCCCAACCGTAGCCATTTTAAGATGTGTGAATTTCAGCTCCCAGAATACCCTAGCCATTTTAAGATGAATGTGGCTGGGATATTCTGGGAATTGAAGTCAACATCACTTTAAATGGCTAAGATTGGGAAACATCGCTTTAATGGCAAAAGCCAGTTTGGTGTAGTGCTTAAGGTGCTGGCCTAGAAATCAGCAGGCAGTGAGTTCTAGTTCTGCCTTAGGCATGAAAAATCATCTGGGTGACTTTGGGCCAGGCACTACCTCAGCTCAACTCACCTCAGAGGGTTGTTGTGAGGAAAATAGGAACAGGAAGAAGTACTAGGTGTATTCACTGCCTTGAGTTACTTATAAAGAAATACAGGTGAAATTTTAAAAAATCTTAAAAACTCAATACGTTTTTGTCAACCATGGAACATCTGTGCCCCAGGTCCCTAACTGGCCACCAATACATTTCCAGAGGCACTTTAGAGTTTCAGTACTGCTTTCTCCTAGTGGAATTGACCCATCTAGCACATGTTTCTGGGGGGGAAATTGTTAGTGGTCCAGAGCTTATAAATTTTACTTTTATGTTCTACCCCTTATTTTATAGAGTAGCATTCCTCTCGAGACTAGGTTAGTACCTTCCCAGAAATTGAGGAAAACACCTCTTCCAAAGACCATATGGAGAATGATGAGCCTGTATCATCGAGGGTATCGTTTTGCTGAATTTATGGGTTTTATGTTCTGTTTTTACCATTTTCCCAGTGTTAACGAGCAGAAGACTATGTTGATCACTGTTATATACAAATACAATCCAGACAACTGCAAGACTGAGCAAAGATTTGGCTTTCTCTATCCATTTGCTGTTGCCTAATAGTCTTCTGCAATTTTGTAGCTCAAAATTTAGGTATTTATGGCCGCTATATCAAAAGAGAATACTGTAGTTTGAAATGTATTACTGGGTGCATAGCGTTTTGCAGTACTGTAGTAGAAATACGTTTATTTCAGCCAATCAACCTCATGTTATAGAATAATATGGCTTTAAAAAATTAAATATTATTTAAATTATGTACTACAGTACTTGGATCAACTTTTAAATATTTGAAATTTATGTTTAAGCATAAGAAAGAAATGCAGCTAGTTCAAATCAGTGACTATTTAGCCAAACATTCTTCCCTCCACATCTGACTAACACTGACTGCTTACAGGTGGTGCTCAACTTACAACCATTTGTTTAGTGACCATTCGAAGTTATAACAACACTGACAAAAATGACATACAACCAATACTTGCACTTACAATCACAGCATCCCCACGGTCACATGATTAAAATTGGTGCAGTTGACAATTCATATGTATCTATGACGGGTGTCAAACTGCCGGCCCGCAGGCCGGACATGTCATCGGGAAATCACGCCCACCCCATTGCCGGCAATGGCGAAAAAGCTCCAATACGTTGCGCGACGTCACGTGACATCGTGAGTTTGACATGTCTGATCTATGACAATTGCAGCTTCCTGGGGTCCTGTGATCACCATTTGCAACCTTCCCAGCCGGCTTCTAGCAAGCAAAGTAAATCGGGTTGCTTAACAACCATGTAATTAACTTAACATCTGTAAGTGATTTGCTTAACAACCATGGCAAAAACGTTGTAAAATTGGGTGTGATTCACTTAACAATTCCCTGGCTTCACAACAGAAGTTCTGGTCTCAGTTGTAGTCATAAATTAAGGATTACCTGTATTAGAGTCATTCTGGCATGATTTAGTAATCCTTAATAGTACTGCAAATAAGTCTATAATTGTCCATCCATTATTGTTGGGGGATACAAAAGTTAAAGATACTAATCTGTCCAAAGTCACATATAGTGAAACCATGACAATGATTAAACTGGAACGATCACCCTCCAGGAACAATTTAATTCAATGTAGATACTTGGATATAAATCCTTTGTTGGATTTTCTTTCATAACAATGCGTGCAATGACAACTTATGTCTACAAATATCAGGAGCTTTCTAGTTTATGGATTGGCAACAATTTAAAGAATAATTTATTCAGTGTTCCGTTATTTTACCACCAGATTTTGATTTATATGGTAATGCATTTTTAAAAGATTCATGTATAAACCTATCCATGAATAAGCTAATTGTGAAAATTAAAAAAAACAAAAAATTCAAAGGATTGGCTTATGTACAGGTGCCACACTTTTCATAATATTTTGTTTAAAAATTTGAGGAATGGTTTTCCATAAATCGGCTTATATGTGAGTATACAGTACTGTATATATGGCATCTTTTAATCAGTGACAGTTTTTCTTGCTCAGTCTAATTCCTGATGAAATTATTAATTTTACTTGAATCATTCAAATGATCATTTTAAGGGGTTCCAGTTTGAGAATAGCAATAAGCACTTAGACTTATATACCGCTTTACAGACCTCTCTAAGCGGTTTACAGAGTAAGCATATTGCCCCAATAATTTGGATCCTCATTTTGCCGGAAGGATAGAAGGCTGAGTCAACCTTGAGCTGGTGAGAATCGAACTGCCAAACTGCAGGCAGCCGGCAGTCAGCAGAAGTAGCCTGCAATACTGCATTCTAACCACTGTGACACCATGGCTCAAGAATGTTTGCTCTAGTGCAGGGCTTTTCAACCAGTGGTACGGGTACCACCTGTGGTACATTGGCACCTGGCAGGTGGTACGCGACCATCCCAGAAAAGTAGTGGGGGAGGGGAATGAGCTGAACCGGTGGCAGCACCGCACAAGCCTGAGTGAGAGATGGCTGGAGCTGCAGAGCTGTCAGGGCTCAGCGGAAGCGCCAGGATCAGCGCCAGTCTCCAGCTGGAGCTCGGCGCTGATCCTGGTGCTTCTGCTGAGCCCAGAAGAAGCGCCAATCATCTGGAATGTTGCAACATCTCCAGGGTCTTGTGATTTACATTCAGATGCTTGGCAACTGATTCATATTTATGACGGTCACAGTGTCCCAGGGTTATGTGAAGTGACTAAAACCTGCTGCAACCACCCAGCAGACGGGGGGAATAAAAACCAAATACCCTTCACTCCACCCCTGCTGCCAATCCTCAACAGAAATGCTCACAACAATGAAAACCTCAGACAGGAGGAAGAGCGCCGCCGGGTGGGCAGGCAGGTGTCTTGCTAGGCTGTGGCTTGGGGGGGATTTTTTTCAGTGCCACTGTAACTTCGAACAGTCACTAAGCGAACTGTTATAAGTCGAGGACTACCTGTACTTTATCCCTTTTTTCCTTTTTTTTTGGGTGGTCATCAAGTTTTTGACACCTTGTTAGGTGACTGGTGGTACTCGGATGTTGCCATATCCTAAAAGTGGTACAGTGGGTGAAAAGGTTGAAAAGCCCTGCTCTAGTGGTCTTCTTTCTAATTATTCAGCTGATTTGACCCAACCTCGCTTCTGAGTCCAGACAAAGTCAAGCAGCTGCTAATTCATTAGAGCTAGATGGATATATAATATAATATAATTTCCCCATATTTAATCATTTTTGCCTTCTGTTTTGTTAACAATTATAACTGAGCAACAATTTTCAGAGGAACTTGGAGGCCACCATAGTACATTGCTGCAGTGCAATTTAAAAACCATAATATGAAAGTTATTTATGTATTTATTTATTAAATTTATATGCTGTCCATCTAGCATATCTTGAAGTATTGCTGATTAAGATGACAAAGGTGTATTCTCGTAGACATTTCTTGTCTTTCACTGGCTCAATTCTGAAATCCGTTTCACGAGGAAGAACTTGTCCTGACCCTCCTGAGAGAAAGAAAACATTGAAAGCAATGAAGTCTCTCTCACAATTCGATAGTGGATGAAGCAGCTGAACATGCATAGACAACCACAGAGATATGGATGAAACTGAGGTAGGGGGGAGGGGGCTTCCCCTTTCTGATATATGTCCCCCTGGGTTTGAGTGGGGCATCAGCCACAGCCTAGGGAAGAGGGGTAAGATGGCAATTGTCATCCATGAAACTCATAACACAGGGGTCTTCAAACTTGGCCCTTTTATGACTTGTGGACTTCAACTCCCAGAATTCCTCAGCCATTGTGCCTGGCTGAGGAATTCTGGGAGTTGAAGTCCACAACTCATAAAAGGGCCAAGTTTGAAGACCCCCTGCTCTAACAGATGCAAATAATTGAATTTTGGAACCTAAGACTGAAGCATTTGGGCTTGTCTACCACCTTCCTGCTATTTGCTGCTCCGCTCCTTGTGGAGCTGGTGTGGTGGGTAAAGCATCAGGCTACAAACTGTTAGACTGCTAGAAACTAAAGACTATGAGTCCTCATCCCACTTTAGGGACAAAGTCAGCTGTGCGATCCTGTGCGACCCGGTCATTCTCTCTCAACCCTAGGAAGGAAACAATGGTAAACCACTTCTGAAATCTTGCCAAGAAAACTGCAGGGACTTATCAAAGGGTCATCACTGACTCAAAGGCAGAAAAAAAAGCATGAGTAAACCAAAGCTTTGTAGAATAGCATGCTGCACAAACCAGATTATTTTAACTAATTCAGCAAACAATTTTAAAA